GGACTCAAATCACAGTCGGCCATGTGGGAGTCCAGTGCTCCTAACCACCACTCCACCTGCCGGCCCCAAGATTAGACATCTTGCCTAAGCAGTATTATCACATAAGGGTTGGTGAAACTGGATAACTGTTCGGTCTGCTACTAGAATAGGCATGGTGATGCAGGGTGAGGAGTATGGAAATTAAACAAGTAACAGAAAATGCAAACCAGAATCTATTATTATTATAAGTAAAAACACAATTTTCAGAGTCTTAATATGGCTTTTTTTTTTTCCCCTTCAGTTTTTGTTATAGGGTATATGTGCTGGCCAAGGACATAAAGAGAGAGAAAGTGAAAAATCATCCCCTGGGGGAGATAGCCGTGCAACAATCCCATTTCCTCTCAGGATTTTGGGCATGCATGTCCATGTGTCTGGCATGATTTTCTTTTCTTTTTCCAAGATTTTAAAAAATAATTATTTTTATTTAACTTTATTTATTTTAATTAAAGACAGAATGAGAGAGAGAGAGAAAGAAAGTAAGAAAGCAAGCTGCCAGGTCCAGGACTTGAATTGTTGTCAGCCATGTGGAAGGCCAGCGCTTTTCACCACCGTGCTATCTGTTGGCCCCATTTAGCATGATTTTCAAGTTGCCGGGTTTGGGATTTGAACTGTGCAGTCAGCCATGTAGGATCCAGTACCTTAACCTCCAGACCATGAACCAACCCCCTTAATAGGACTTTCAGTGTGTGCTTGTATGTGTGTGTCTGTTTTAATGTTGCCGGTGGGCATATGTGCTTATGGGAAAGAGAGGAAAAGAGAAAGAAAACATCCCTAGAAGGAAATATTTATGTTGCAGACGCCTCTCCTGCATTTCTCCTTCCTTTTGAGATTTGGGGCATGTAAATACACTTGTCTGATGTATTTTTCATGTCACTGAGTTGGGGACTCAGACTATGGGGACTCCAACCCCCTTAAGCGCCAGGCCACAGGCTGGCCTGTAATACGTGTATTTAATGTAAAGAAATAACTTTTTTTCCCACTACTTTATTTGTATTACCCTTTTCTGTTTCACTGATTTTGCAGTTATTTTTGGGCACATAATCACTGTAAGATATTTCTGAAATGTCTTTAGAGGAAAGATGAAATGGTGAGGTCTTCAGGAATCACAGTACTATTTTCTTACTATTTGTGACTAATGAACTATGGTTCTGGTCATTTTCATAATTATTCTCATAGAGAAGTTATCCGTATCTGTGGGTATGACACATGTTTGAATGAATGGAGGTAATGAAATATTTAGCTTTAAGTTTGCTAGTAGCCATTCACATGCTGTGGTAGGGTAAGTTGCTTAACCACTCTGGGCTGAAGTCATTTAAGTACTCTAGCCTCCTATTTCCTTTTCTATAAAATGAGGAATTTGGCTCAATGATCTCTAGTGTCTTTTCATTATAATTTAATGCTTGCTAAATTTATGGGCACTAAGTAAATTTTTGGGAAATTAATACCTTTGATCACAAAGAATTCATTTAGCACATGTCAGTTACTGAATGTGACACAACATTGACTTGGTGGGTATCTAATTAGGATTTAGAGAATTATCCAGTCTGAATAATTAGATAACTTTATTTCTGGTTTTGTTTTGTTTGTTTTGTTTTTTAGTGCATTTGCTGAAGAAAACCCTGCAGAAATGTGAAAAGAATGGGTGGATGGAACAGATCTCTGGTAAAGGATTCAGTGGCACCTTCCAGCTCTGTTTTCCCTATTACCCCAGGTAAGCACTTAGCCAGTAAAGGGAAGTAATGGCCATTGTAAATTTACAGTAATGACTCTAGATTACCGGCTTAGATTAATTTTATTTTACCTTATTACTGTTAACCCTCAACTGGAAACATTTAAAATAAGTACTACTTTAAAGCCATATTGTTTTGGAGCAATAGGTGTATAAGAGTGTAAGAACTGGAGTTTTGGCTGTTCTGCCAGAGTATATTGTTAGCCAACTGTTACAAGGTGTAACTATGTAGTATAACTTTCTTACATTACTCTGTGTATAAACATAAGTGTTACTGGTTGAGTGCATATTATTTGAATCTTTCAGATACTAAATTTAATTCTTAAAGCCACATTCATAAGATTATATAACTTAAGGACATATTAACCACAGGAATCAAGATTTTTACATTGGAGTGGCCCAGTAGCGTGCAGCAGTTAAACACTGCACCTGGAACCATATGGCTTACTGTAGTTCAGATCTTGTCTTGGTTGCTTCAAGAATAAGCCATGCTGGGAACCAGCAGTTAGCGTAATGGCTATGTCGCTGGACTCCCACGTAGTCGACCGCGGTTCATGTCTCGGACCCGGTGGCTTAAATCTCATGCCGGGCGCGTGTGCGTGTGTGCCCAAGATCCCGAGAGGAGAATGGAGGAGAAGGGATTGCGGTGTGACCATCCCCCCTGGGGGGTGATTTCTCGCTTTCTGTCTCTATGTCTCTGTCTGGCGAGCGCACGCGCCCTATAGCGAAAACCTCTCCAAAAAAAAAAAAAAAAAAGAATAAGCCATGCTGAGGCAATATGCTTGACTGCGCACTTTGAGTCCTGGACCTGGCAGCTTGAAAAGTACATTGGGTGTAGGTACATACATGCTCAAAATCCCAAGAGGAGAATGGAGGAGAAGAATTTCTCACTTTCCTTCTCTCTTTCTCTCTGTTGAGCACTTGTGCTCTTTGACAATAATCTAAAAAAAAAAAAAAAACAGAACCAGTCAGGGAACCAGCAGTTAGCATAATGGCTATGTCACTGGACTCCCACATAGTCGACCACAGTTCGCGTCCTGGAGCCAGTGGCTTAAACTCAAGCCAGGCACGTGTGCGTGCGTGCCCAAGATCCCAAGAGGAGAATGGAGGAGAAGGGATTGCAGTGTGGCCATCCCCATGGGGGTGATTTCTCGCTTTCTGGCGAGCACATGAACCCTATAGTGAAAACCTCTCAAAAAAAAAAAAAAAAAAAAAACAGAACCAGTCCAGGCACATGTGCATGTGTGCATAAAATCTTGAAAGAATAGAGAAAAAAAGGATTGCAGGGCCAGTAGATAGTGTGGAGGTTAAGACACTGACTCCAACATGGCTGGCGGGCAATTCAAGTTCTAGACCTGGCTGCTGGAAAAAAATCACACCATATGCATGTGTGCCTAAAATCCCAAGAAGAAAATGGAAGCGAAGGGATTGCAGAGTGGTCATCCCCCCTACCCCAGGGCGATTTCTCACTTTCCCTCTCTGGCAAATGTCTATGCCATATAGCAAAAACTAAACAACAATAAAAAAGCGATTGCAACATGACCACCGCTAGTGAAGGGAAGACATTGCCTACTCTCTGGAGAGCGCACACACCCTCTGGCAATTAAGAGATAAAACCTCTTAAATAACAGATTTCTTCTACATTTATAGTAAAGATTTAGGGAGTTCTTAGCCAGATTTCTCTAAAACTTTGTTAAGATGAGGTGCTTAAGGTCTTTAAGACTTAGTGTTTTGCCAGTATTTTAAGGGCAAAAGTGTGTACTGCTATAGAGGCTGTTCTCTGCGGTGTAGACCATATACTGCTTTGTACTTAATGGCTAATTTAGTGCCAGACATATATCAGGAGTTTGATTGTTTACTGAATAAATGATTAAGGGTCACTGTTTTATTAAACGGTGAGAGGAAAGAAATGAAGTATAATCTGAGAGAGTTCTGTAGGTTTGTTGTAATTTTGTTTGTTTTTGGTTTTTTGTTTGTTTTTGTTTTTTTTAAGAGAGATTTTTGCTATAGGGTACCCGTGCTCGCCAGAGACAGACAGGAAGCGAGAAATGAACCTCCAGGGTGGATGGCCACGCTGCAGTCCCTTCTCTGTCATTCTCCTCTAGGGATCTTGAACACGCACGCACACATGCCCAGCGTGAATTTTAAGTTACCAGGTCTGGGACTTGAACTGTAGTCAACAACATGGGAGTCCAGCAACATAACCATTATGCCATCTTCTGATTCCGGTTTGTTGTAATTTGGTATATATGTTCAAAATAGGTTAAATTGTAACCTAATATTTTAACCTAATCTGACCATTGGAGGGGCTGGGGTGATAAGGAGAAGTGGGGAATGTCCAAGGAAGAACATCTAGGTTCGCGTTACATATCCTATGTAGAATTTCTGGGGCTTTTTGGAGTTTTTGTTATTGTCTTATCTAGATCTTACATGAGAGAGAGAGAAAATGTTACCCCCCAACAGTGTCCTCACACCATGATTCACTCTCTGCCTTAGTCTGCCCAGATCATAGGCACACACATGTGTGCCTGGTGTGTACAGGGAGGCCTCAGGACATGAACACTGACTTTCCCATGTGGATCCTGACAGTGTTGCATTACCACCACTCCACTTTCTGATGCCAAGGATTTCTGTTTATCGTGTCTTTTTCTTCTTCTATAGCCCAGGAGTTCTGTTCCCAAAAAAAGAGCCAGATGATTCTAAAGATGAGGATGAAGATGAAGATGAAGATGAGGATGAAGATGAATCATCAGAAGAAGACTCTGAAGACGAAGAGCCACCACCTAAAAGAAGGTGTGGATTTGTGAATAACCCTTCTTGTGGGGAGGATAATACTTTAGAGCTGAAAATACTTAAAGGAAGGGCTGAAGATAGAGAAGTTTTTTTTTAGGTTTTTGTTCTAGGGCACATGCAACCACTGGAGAGACAGACAGACAGTGAGAGAGAGAATGAGAAATCACCTCCAGGGCATGGCTGCACTGTAATCCCTTCTCCATTCTCCTCCTGGGATTTTGGGCATGCACGCACACATTTTCAGTGTGAATTTCAAGCTGCCAGGTCCAGGACTTGAACTGTGGTGGGCTGTGTGAGAGTCCAGCACCTTAACCACTATACCACCTGCCAGCCTCATAGAAAAGTGTTTTAATAACTCAGGATCCTTGGGACCAGCAGATAGCGTAATGGCTATGTCGCTGGACTCCCATGTGGTCTACCACGGTTTGCATCCCGGACCCGGTGGCTTAAAACTCACGCCAGGAGTGTGTGCGTGCCCACGTGCCCAAGATCCTGAGAGGAAAATGGAGAAGAAGGTATTATAGCGTGGCCATCCCCCCTGGAGGGGTGATTTCTCGTTTTCTGTCTCTCTGGTCTCTGTCTGTCTGGTGAGTACATGAGCCCTAGAGCAAAAACCTCTCCAAAAAAAATAAACAACTCAGGATCCTTTTTAAAGTTCTTTGTTTAACTTTTATTTATCTTCTCCCTTGGAAATTCAGGGGCTCTGAACTTAGAAGCACTATGATCATATAATTTACTCATTAATCAAACTGATAAATATCCATAGTTTATTCAAAGAAAAGTAATTCCACATTTTCCTAGGAAAAACCTTATGGGATTACACATAGATTTCTATGAATTCATTGAAAAAAATTTTAATATATATTTTTTAATAGTTTGCTATAGGGCCTATGAACTCACCAGAGGGAGATGGGGGTTGGGGGGAGGTTGATGGCCACACCATAATTTCTTCTCCATTCTTTTCTTGGGATTTTAGGCACGCATGCACATGTGTCTGGCACGTTCTTTAAGCTGCCAGATCCAGGACTTGAACCATGCAGTGGGACCTCTGAGATCCAGCTGTCTTCACCACCATGGCACCTGCTGGCCTAGAATTGGTTGAATTTTTATGCCATTTTAGTGAAGCTTCTAGTAAAAAAAAATTAAGTCCCATTACTGTTCTGAACATAGGATGACTTCTGTGTATTCTATCTCTTTTTAGCAAAGTGTATGGTTGTCCTGGCAAAGTTGTCCTAGCAAAGCGAATCCCATATACTAAATGTTTCCCTTTGCTCTTTGGTTCCCACAGGTTGCAGAAGAAAACTCCAGCCAAGTCCCCAGGGAAGGCTGCATCTATGAAGCAGAGAGGATCCAAGCCTACACATAAAGTCCCCACTGCCCAGAGGGGGAAAGCTAGGCCCCTGCCCAAGAAAACCCCTCCTAAGGCCAAAACTCCTGCCAAGAAAGCCAGACCTTCGCCCTCAGGCATCAAGAAACCTAGCGGTGGGTCTTCAAAGAAACCTGCAGCCAGTGCAAGAAAAGAAGTAAAATTGCCTGGCAAGGGCAAATCCACCATGAAGAAGTCTTTCAAAGCAAAAAAGTAAATTTTATAGGGAAAAGGGTATCATGATGAAATTCAAACTTATTTTCTAAGGTCAGTGTGCATTTGTTTTAGTTTTGATGCTTTTGAAATTACATTGTTTTCTTCCCCTGTGAACATTGTGGGGAGGGACTTTAAATAACGAGTTTAGGCATTTGTTAGCTTTAGGTGCTGTTTTTGGTGCCTGCTCCTTCTCTCAGTCATTTTAATTTCTGCAATAATCCTTGGTTTTTCTAAACTATGTAATCTACATTTGTTCTTTTTGTTCCCTGTACCCTAGCCCCTTACCTTTTTGTGTGGTCAGCTCTGGCTGCCCCGTCTCTTCCAGTTTTATCTAAACAGTTGCAGAGATTTTTATATTTCTAGAAAGCATCAAGAACAGAATGCTGGTCCGGTGCTGGAAGTAAAAAGGAAGCAGTATAGCACTGACTGAATTGTAAAGCCTCCTACCCGGAGACTTCAGTTATAGCTATAATTAATCTTATTTATAAAACCACTCCATTAACCCATTCTCTCCAACAGTGAACATAAGACATCTATCTTAGCTTTGGGAATAAGCCAAAAGTGGTATGATCTCATTAGATTCTGAAGACAGAACTCCGCTGGGTCTCTTTTCACATTGATCAATCTTCAGGTAATTTTACTGGCCCAGAGTGTTTTATTCCCTGAACAGCAAGCACAGCTTCTCTATACCACTTGGTTTTGACTGAAGGGAAAGTGTAAGAATATATTGAATATGTGATTTCTGGTGTCACCTGTACTACCAAAAATCAAAACAAAATCTTCTTGATCAAATGTTTAAATATATTTTTAATATTTGGAGCATGAATTGTCATTTTCTGTTTGCCTTTTTTATAAGGAAACGTTGGAGAGTTGCATCATTGCAAATGTAGAAATATTAAGTGGAAAAACATACAGACTGCTAAAATAAACTAGATTCGAGATTCATCTGTGGGTTTTTTCCCCCTCCTTTCTTTCCACAGCACTTTTTATTATCAAGCAGGTGGCCTCCTTTTTGAGATAATAATAAAAAGTAAAGAAAAGGAAAAAAGCAATTGAAGCCCAACTACCTAACCCTTTCTCATTTGTATTTGTTTTAGTATTGTGAAGTTGTGTTAAATAGTACTAGCTTTCTACTTGACAGATACTGATTTCTGGTTATCATTTATCTTCCTTGTGGCACTTGACATTTTAATGGTCTTAAACTTCTGGTGTACATCTTCTGGCCCCTTGAGTGCTGCCAGAGTCAAAAGATACTTGTTTCACATTCATTCCACTTGCATTGTCTCCTGGGATCCCTTCTGCAGCCTGAAGTGTGGCTGGGAAATGGACTTGTGAAGATTGGCTTGAAGTAGATCATAATCATGTGTGATCCCATCATGAGTTCATTGGAATCTGTGTTGCATGTAAGGCAATCTTTCCTGTTGTAAATCTTCCTTTTTTTATGTACATATATTTTGAAAAATATGAATAAACATGAAATTTTAAAAGCTGCTGAACTGTAGCTTATATTTAAAAGTTTCTAGCATATCCTTCGAAATAGCTAAGTGTTGTCCTTACGTTGAGTCTTTTCTACTCCTTGCAATGGACACCATCCTTTTCCTTTTAAATTTTATTTTTGTTTAAATTTTCTATGGGGTGTGTGTGCTTCCCAGAGAGGAAAAGTGAGAAATCACTCCCTGACCACAGAGCAGTACCCATCTATTCTCTCAGGATTTGGGGCATGCATGCATACACACCTGGCGTATTGTTCAAGCCATGAAATCCTGGACTTAGACTGAGCAGTTGAGGGATGTGGGATCCAGCTGCCTTAACCACCACACCATCTGGCTGGCCCCATCATTTTCCTTTTAAATACAAGCTTCAATTTATTTGCTTTTAATTCCTATATTGATGATAAATGATGTTTCTGTTAGGTTTGTCAGGAAACCCAATAGGTATGTTGGATGCTGTGTAACGAATCAAAGGTTTGAAAAAGTCATTTTATTTAGGACTGTTTTCAAGATCAGAGAGTCCAGTCTTTTGTTCACTGAGTGTTCAACGTTCAGATAGGTCATTGGACTAGGAGACTATTATAGCACGGCAAAAGATAACAGATAAACCCTAAAGGCCTAATTCTAGGAAATAGTTATGTCTGTTGTGCTATTTGGCAAATAATGATTCTTAATAATAATAGGCGTTAGATACCTATACTGAAAATTATCTGTTCTTTTGGAATCAAAAACTGGAGGCTGTTGGACGGTTCCTTTTTTTTTTTTTTTTTTTTGGGAGAGGTTTTCACTATAGGGCATGTGCGCTCGCCAGACAGAGACATAGAGACAGAAAGTGAGAAATCACCCCCTGCGGGGGATGGCCACGCTGCAATCCCTTCTCCTGCATTCTCCTCTCCGGATCTTGGGCACACACGCACACGCGCCCAGCGTGAGTTTTAAGCCACCAGGTCTGGGACGTGAACCGCGGTCGACTACGTGGGAGTTCAGTGACATAGCCATTATGCTAACTGCTGGTTCCTTTGGATGGTTCCTTTTTTATGGAACAGATTAAGCATTCCTAATCCAGAAATCTGAAATACTCCAAAATCTGAAAGTTTTTGAGCACTGATATAAGTATTTAAGTATATAAGTGGAGACTCTCACACCTGACTATATGTGTCCAATTGCATTTAAACCACTGCAGTACAAAAGGGTTACAAAATTACCTTCAGGCTGTATGCATAAAGGTATATATGAAACACCAGTGGATTTTGTGTTTAGACTTAGGCCTCATCTCCAAGATACCTCATTGTAAAATCAAGTATTCCAAAATCTGAAAAAACCCAAAACACTTCTGATCTCAAGCATTTTAGGTAACCTGTTGGTTTTTGAAAGATTTACTGACTGATCACCCGGTGTCCATATTGTACATCAGGCACTTAAGGCCCAGTGTGAATTGTGATCAGTTCAGGTCCCTTCCAACTCACATTCTATTTTTTTTCCCCAAAGTTCAGGAACAGGCATTTTGCTTTAGCACGGTGTAAAGGGAAAGGACAGGAGGGCCATTGTGCTCTTCAATAAAAGTCCCCAACTATAGAAGACACGCATCTTAATTTGAAATACAGGAATTCTTGATTACTCACTTGCTAGCATTCTAGAACAGAGCACATGATTTTTACTTTTATAATTATAGAGGGGATCAGCAAACTTCTTGGGTAATCCGAGTAATCTCTAGCATGGATCAATGGCTTCAATACCCACTTGGTGATTTAGTGAGCGCACTTAAAGTTTCATGTACTTTAAAACATACAGGCTGCCTTTGATAAGTGAATCTCAGTGCTATGAGAGAAGGTGGTGGCTTCTTAACCTCCAAAATAAAAGATACCAGAAAACAGAGAGAGAGAGAGAGAGAGGGACCTTTTCTTAGTAATATGAAGAAAGCGTTCAATGCAGATGGAACCTGATCCTAACCACATGGACTTAATGAATGGAAGCTTGATTGTGTATATGTGTAAGTCTTAGAGAACAGATAGGTGTATTAATCATATCTATTGGGTATAATAGGAAAATTATGTGAAAACAGGAGCTAAACAATATGCCAGTATCTGACATTTTTCCATCACTCCTCTTACTGAATTCTGCTAACCCTAGTAATCAAGGCTTGCTAACCTGTTCTTTTTTTTTGTGGGGGGGGAGACATTTTTGCTATAGGGCACGTGCTCTCGCCAGAAAGAGAGAGAAACAGACAGAAATCACCCCCCAGGGGGGATGGCCACACCACAATATCTTCTCTGTTCTCTCAGGATCTTGGGCCTGCACGCACATGCGCCCGGTGTGAGTTTGAGCCACCGGGTCTGGGACTCGAACTGCGGTCAACTACATGGGAGTCCTGCGACATAGCCATTACGCTAACAGCTGGTCCCCCTATTCTTAATATCTTCTTTAAAAGAGCCTATATGTTGAGGACCAGCAGATGGCGTGATGGCTGCGTCACTGGATTCCCATGTAGTTGACCGCAGTTCGAGTCCCAGACCCGGTGGCTCAAACTCACACCGGGCGCATGTGCGTGCAGGCCCAAGATCCTGAGAGGAGAATGGAGAAGTGATTGCGGTGTGACCATCCCCTTTACGGGGTGATTTCTTGCTTTCTATCTCTGTCTTTCTGGTAAGTGTACACGCCTTGTAGCAAAAACCTCTCCCAAAAAAAGAGCATATGTGGGGCCAGCAGATGGCATAGTTGTTACATCACAGACTTCCACATGGCCAACCGCGGTTCAGTTCCCTGACGTGGTGGTTTGAAAATCACACCAGGCACATGTGCATGCATACTCAAGATCCCAGGAGGAGAAAGGATTGCTGCATGGCCATCCCTGCAGGGAATGATTTCTCACTTTCCCACTCATTACCTTTCGCTCTGGTGAGCACATGTGCACTAAGGCAAAAACCTCTTCAGTAAATAAATAAAATAAAAATAAAAGAACCTATGAAGGACCAGGTGGATGGCATGGTGGTTAAGGCACTGGACATGTTTGACTGTTGAGGTCCTGGACCCAGCAGTGCAGCTTGAGACTGGGCATGTGTGTGTGTGTGTGTGTGTGTGTGTGTGTGTGTGTGTGCGTGCCAACATCTAATGTGTGTGTGTGTGTGTGTGTGTGTGTGTGTGCATGCCCAAAGTCCTGAGAGTAGAATGGAGGAGAAGAGATCGTGGCCATCGCATAGCTATCCCCCAGGGGGGTGATTTCTCATTTTCTGTCTGTCTCTCTCTAACTGGTGACTGCACATACTCTCTAGCAAAAAGTTTCTCAAAAGAAACAAAAGCCTATGAAATTATTTTCATTCAGGCTGAGATACCCTTGTTATCTCCATTTCAGGAGAATGAAGTTAAGCTAGCCATGTTCATTAGCTGCTATAATCAACCAATCAGAAGAAACTTTAAAATTTTAGGATTATAGTTAAGGTTCCTCATCTTTGGAACCTGGAAAAAAGTTGTCTTAATTACTTTATCTCTTTATGAGTTAAGCAAAATTCCAATTTTATCCTTGGAAGAAGAGTGATTCTATTCTTAATTGGAAAAAGACCGTTATTAAATTTTTTCCCCGGTGGTTCTGATTGAACTCTTCTAGCGTAGAGTTGTTTTTCATTTTCATGGTGAAACAGATGGTCACTCGCATCTGCAGAGCTAAAGCTAAAGAATAAGAACTGGAGCTCTTGGCTTAGGAATCACTTGACAGAGATTTGTTTAGAAGCCATTACAAATGGAATCTCACATCAACTGCATTGCTTTTGTTTTTTAAGAAACTAATCTTTGGTCTTTATTACAATGCTCTTTCCTTCTATCATTTTGCACAAGATTCTTAAGCTTGATAGCTTTTTTTTTTTCTGTTAGAAAAATCTCCTAAGGTGATTTCAGTTTATCAGCTTAGTTTTAACTGTTCTTAATTTTGTCAGCAACTGATGGTTTAAAGGAGGCTTCAAAGGCCAGCCCTGTAGCACAACAGTTAAGTGCTGCATAGGATATCGGCTCCTAGGTGGTCAACTGCTGTTGGAACTCTGGCCTCAAAGGCTTGAAAAATGCCCAGCATTGGGACCAGCAGTTAGTGTAATGGCTATGTCGCTGGACTCCCATGTAGTCGACCGTGGTTCGCGTCCTGGACCCTGTGGCTTAAACTCATGCTGGGTGCGTGTGCGTGCGTGCCCAAGATCCCAAGAGAATGGAGAAGAGATCCGAAATCTTAAGAGGATGGAAAAGGCATTGTGGTGTGGCCATTTTCCCGGAGGATGATTTCTCACCTTCCCTCTGATAAGTGCACACAAATTATAGCAAAAAAAAAAAAAAAAATTAAAAGTCTGGGTGCTTTGCACACACTTCAGCTACTCAGAAGAGTGAGGCAGGAGGATTGTAAGATAGTGAAACCCTATCCAAAAGGAAAAAAAAATTATTTTTCTCCTAATGCTATGTATAAATGTTTAACACTAATTGCCTTTAAATTTTTGCTTAATAGTCTAGGCCTGATGGCATGGGTGGTAGGTGCCCGTGTGTGATACTGGAACCATTTGGGAGGCCTTGGTTCAGATTTCAGGCACCTGGCTAGGAGGTTGTGGAGAGAATCATCATGGCGAGCCCCTGTTAAGGGTGCCTCCATCTCCCTTCCCCCTACCTCAAGAAACAAAAGTTAAAAAAAAATCCTAGTAGGGGGCCAGCAGGTGTGGAGGTTAAGGTGCTAGGTATCATATGGTTGGTTGCACAGTTCGAGTCCTGGGACTAGCGGCTTGAAAACCGTACCAGGCACAAGTGCATGTTCCCAAAATCCTGAGAAAAGCCTGGATGAGACGAGATTGTGTCATGGCCATCCCCCCTGGGGAGGTGATTCTTATGTTTTCTTTCTCCCTATGGCAAGTGCACAAGCCTTATAGCAAAAACTAAAAACAAACAAAAAAGTAGATCTTTACGGTGACCAGTATATTTGATAAAGCGTAGTTGTAAGTTCGGCTGGCACTTAACAAAAATAGTGAAAACAGCTA